ATATGCATTGTGAGATTTTTTTTTATCAATAAACTATAATTGCTTTGCCATTTTTATACATCAACTTCTACAAAGTTTTCTTTAAGTTCTGCAGTTAACCATTTACTATACTGTATATATTTAATATATTGATTGATATTTATATATATATATGCATGATTATGTTTCTATTTGGGCATTAAGGTCGTACTCACACTAGGTACAGTTGCCCCGAACCGGGCCAGAGCACGCTTGTCCCCCCTCCCGTCTTCCCCGACAGCCCGCACTCAGCCCACAATCAGGCCTGGGCACGCTTACGTCATCGATGCTGCGCTGTTCAGTGAGAAGCGCTGTCACTCAGCAGCACAGTGGAGATTTCTCTAGTTATATCGTTTCAGTCTGTTTGATATGCAGTGACATGGAATCAAATATTTCGCCAAACAGTCCTTAGAGATGCAGTGACACGCAGTCAGATATTTTACCAAACAGATCCGCCACTTTTGGCGCTGATAAACAATCATAAAGCCCTCGTGCTGCAGGAATGAGGAGGTTTGCTGAAGGTGCGCAGCTGTCGCGCAGTGAGGGGTTTGCGTGTTTAATAAGCTACAGCAGTTTGCGTTCACTGAACAGTAAGAATGATTAATAAATCCATATGAAACAGTCCCTTAAAAGTCATGTCTCGCTTTCAGTTTCGCGCTTTGGCGCGTTTTGCACTCACACTACAAACGTACCGTGCCAAAGCCCAAGTGAACCGTGCTCAGGCCCACCTACTCCAACCGGGCAAGGGGCGGCCAAGTGAACCGCGCTTGAGCCCGATTCAGCGCACTCACACTTCTCAAACGATCCGGGAAACGGGCCTGGGCACGGTACGGATGGCATAGTGTGAGTAGGCCCTAATTAATACATGATATGGGTTTATAAGTGTTTAGATTAATAAGGGGAGAATTTAGTAAGTCATGTAAGCAGAACTGCAAGCTATTAAGTATACTTAATATTTCATTATCATTACTTAATATATATTAGAATATTTTATTATCCTTTTGTGTATTTCTCAGTCATGAAGAGATACACCAAAAATTACATGTAAATTTAAGAGTATATTTACATTTTAAGTTCCTTTAATTGTGGTATGCTAAAACATACTAGTAGTATACTTTGTTATATATATATATATATATATATATATATATATATATATATATATATATATATATATATATATATATATATATATTATAAACTATAAACTATATAGTACATTAACTAAACATAATTTGATAGAGTAAGCACTTTTTCCCAAGCAAAACCTGATGGAAATTGACGACCTAAACACTAAACACCATCTTCTTGTTTAGTACAAAAAGCAACATTGGCTTACTTATGCTACTTGATTTGATGTTTTTAATGTATTTTAATAACATACAGATGTGTTTAAATGTGACGTAAATGTCTAAACACTTATAAACCAACTGTAATTTCATATCCAGGGCATGATATCAGATACAGAAAGGTGTGATGTCGCAACCTCAGATATGAAAATTCTGATATTTCTTTTGCATGAATATCTTTAGCCACCGTACGATAGTCACTAGATAGTCCCCAACTTCTAGCAAATGTAAACAAATACAAAGCAAGCATAAAAAGGCAAAGGTGTTTCCTCATACTTCTGTAGAGTTACATGTATGTAAAATACCTCCAATGAAAAATGTTTCCTTAAACTGTGTAATCATGCAAAAATAAATTGCTGTGGGGCCCAGGCTCATTTTGGTATTCCCGTGCTCTTCCGGAGAAAGCCCTGTCCCATTATATTGTGACAGACGGTGTATAGACTGTTCTGTTAGAGTGGGACACAAGGCCTACCTCTGTGTCCTGATAGATGCATTCCTGTGCTCTGAATCACACTGTATAAAGCGCATTATCATAGTTTATGTTAAGCGTAAGTTATCAAATTTACTGGATAGTGACAGTCAAGAGTTGTGTAAAATAAAATAAAATAAAATAAAATGACAAAATAGACAAAAATTAATCAAGTACAAAGTACTGTACAAAGGCCAAGAGGGTGGTAAATAAAATAAAATAAAGTTAGACAAAAACAAAATACTTAAGAAAAAATAATTAAGGTGAAATAATGTAATTTACTGTATGATGGTTAATAAAAATAATAAAAAATAAATAATAATAAAAATAAATAAAGTAAACTAAAAAGTTTGGCAAAAACAAAATAATTACGAAAAACTAAATTAATTTAAGACCAAATAAAAATTGTATCAACAATACAAAGGTCAGGAGTTGGGTTAACAAAACAAAACAAAACAAAACAAAGCAAAGCAAAACACACACACACACACACACACACACACACACACACACACACACACACACACACACACACACACACACACAGACACAGACACAGACACAGACACAGACACAGACACAGACACAGACACAGACACACACAGACACACACACAGTATATTATATACATATGTATAATAAAATGGTAATATAAATAACAAAAAGCACATTTAAAAAGACTAACAATAACTACTTAAAATATTTCTGAGATTTAAATCTGAGTTTGTTTACTTCGTTTTGTGCTGGGTCACCGCTTGGTTATAAAATCTGTGCCCTCAAGCCAAACCAGGCCACAGGCTGATGTTGACAGACAGAAATGGACAGTTATGACTATAAAATGACAATTCAAGCATTTTAGGACACCAAAGAAGAAGCAAAACTGGAGAAAACATAATAAACAACAAAAACTGTCCTACCGCAGTGAGTGAAGTGAAGCGGTCACCTAGAGGCCAGTCGATAGGCCTGCGGTATCAGAGGCCAGTTGAAAATTGTCCAGAAATGGAGTATATATACATTTACAGTTGTGTTTCTCAGTCTTGATTATCTCCCTGTTTGTCTGTTTCCGTGTCTACTGAAGACAAACAAGTATGTGCATTTACCAAGCATTCATGAATGCAATGCTGTTCTGGTGTATGACTGTTTGGAGGGGGCAGAGAGAGACACAGAAAGAGAGAGAGAGAGAGAGACCCTCTTTTGGAGCCAAAAATAGTCTGGCGGAGAGTTTTGGACAGTGGCTGACGCTGCACATTCTCAGCTTTGGAGTGAGATCAGGTGTGTGGATCCACAGACCCCTGAAACACCACAGCAGGGAGCAAGAAAAATATCTTCCTCCAGTGTTAACGCTCGGTAAACATTCTTTTGTCTTTTTTTATAGAGACGTTCATTAAGAAGCTGAAAAAGTTGTTTTTAAAGAGAAGCGATGCATTGTGCTTTCATCATTTACATATTGCTGGATAACAATAACAAGCTAATTTCCTTATTTAGGCAATAATAAAAAAAATATTAAATTAAAAAGTTATGAATAATTGAGAAAAAATTTATAAATTAAGACAAAATAAAACTTATATTTACTGTAAAAAGGTCAAGAGGTCAGGTAATAAAATAAGACAAAACTAAATGAAATAAAAACTAAGTAAAATACAATGAAATAAAAATAAATCAAATAAAAAGTATTAAACTTAATTAAGAAAAAAATAATTAAGACAAAATAAAACTGAAATTGACTGTGTAATGGTCAAGAGTAGGGTCGATAAAACAAAATAAAATAAAATAAAATGTAACAAAAGTTGGACAAAAAAACTAAATAATTACAAAAAAAACTAAATTAAATTAAGACAAAAAAATTTAAGCTAAATTTAAAAAATGAATTAAAACAAAACAACAAAATTACAAAAATAAAAAAATAAACTAACAAAAACAACAAATAAAATCAAAAAGCAAGAAATATTGCTGGGTTACAATAACAAGCTTATTTCCTTATTTAGGCAATAAAATAAAATAAATGAAAATAAAATAAATGATAAAATATATAATTAGAAAAAACTAAATTAAATAAATCTTACATTTTCTGCACAAAGGTCAAGAGTTGGGTTAATAAAATAAAATAAAAAGTAACAAAACTTAGACAAAAACTAAATAAATAGGACAAAATTAAAATAATTCAAAATAAACTAAATCATTTAAGTTAAGACAAAATAAAAAAAAACCAAAATGAAATGATAAAATAAACAATAATAAATAAACAAAATAACAAAATGACATAAAATAAATAAATCACCAGTCAAAAACAACATAATACAATAAAAGCGAGAAATAAAGCTGCATTACAATAACAAGTTTACTTCCTTATGCAGGCAATAATAAGAAGTCATGCTATACAGAAGTGCCTTGCTCAGGCATGTGATCAATGAGTGATAAAAAAAGAATGATAAAGATCCTTAATTGTTATTTTTGCCAAATGCTAGACAGATATCTTATCTTGTAACACAGTGTGATAAATATCTTGCGTTATTAAGATTTTATCCTGTGTTCAAAAGTGAAAGTAAAACATCTATTCATATAAATCCAATTTCAATACGGAAATCAGCAAATTAAAACAACAATATTATTAATTTATATATAAGTAATTTAAACAGAGGTCAGAAAATAGAGTCCCTAAAATTAAGTAAACTCTGTTTACTAATGTTTGATAAACTGGTTACTTGGTTATAAATTTATGGTAACAAGTTATGTTATTTAATTGTTATCATACTTATTTTATTTCTATTCAACATTTTTTATTGTGTAAATGTAGAGTAAATGTGAACTAAAACATAAAAAATGTGAACTATAACCAAACACTAACCAGAAATAAAATAAAATAAAATTATCATTTATTAAAAATAAAAAAGCACTTAAAATAAAAGGCAGTAAAATAGACAAATTTTAAACTCCTTAAGGCATAACAAAAATGTGAAACAGACCAAATTAAACAAAACAAATTGAATGAAATACAATTTATAATAATATGCAACTCAAATGATCATAAATAATCATAAAAAAGTTCAATCAAATGTATTTAATAGCCAAAAATTAAACGAAGCAGGGACTTATGGTCAACTTTAAAGTTCCCCAAGGAAATAAAGGAACTAAGAAACAGAGCACGAGTGCACATGTGGTGGTACCTCTATAATCTCTGGCCGGAGGTTGATGGTGTAGAGCCAGTCTGTGAGGTTTGGGTACGAGTCCAGCGCCAGCGGTCGATCTCTCTCTGCAACACTGCGCTTCCAGTCCAGCTGCTTACTGATGTACTTCACCAGCTTCTCCTGCAGGGGGCAATCAAACACACACAGAGCTATGTAATATATCGGTTTGCTTTTTAAAGTGATACAAACTACTTTTTAATCATCATTCAAAATAAAATAAAGATTTTTGTTTTAATTAAAAGTAAAGTTTATTTAAGATATACATTTGCTGTTCATTTTACTTAGATGAAGATGACTTTTTTTTGTAAAGCAGAAGATAAATATGATTCTTAGCTGAAACAGTGGTCCATGGCTATTCACAAGTTTCAAGTCAACTGTTAATGGCACTATAAAAAAAGTCAATCCATAACAAAATGAATACGTGTGGTGCTGTGGTTTGTTTGCAAGTTTTATATAGTTAGTTTGCAGCATCCAGAATAAGCATCAGTAGCATTTTGATGTACACATCCTCACTCTCGGTAGAACACACCAGTAACTGTTTCCATCAACTCATTTTTGTGTTGTAACCATTTTAGTACAAAAACAAAACAGTAACTTAGGGCTGCACAATATATCATTTGAGCATCGATATCACAATGTGTGTGTCCGTGATAGTCACATTGCAACATATGCAATGTCGAGTAGGGATTATAGATCACTAGAAACCACAGGTCTAAACACACTATATTTAATATATTTTCTTTTCGACTTAGTCCCTTTATTAATCTGGGGTCCCCACAGCGGAATGAACTGCTAACTTATCCAGCATATGTTTTACGCAGCAGATGCCTTTCCAGCTGCAACCCATCTCTGGGAAACATCCATACACACTCATTAACTATGGACAATTTACCCTACCCATTTCACCTGCATGTCTTTAGACTGTGGGGGAAACCGGAGCACACGGAGCAAACCCACGTGAATGCGCAGAAAACATGCAAACTCCACACAGAAACACCAACTGACCCAGTCGAGGCTCGAACCAGCGACCTTCTTGCTTTAAAGCGACAGCACTACCTACTGCGCCACTGCATCGCCATAAACACGCACGCACACACACACACACACACACACACACACACACACACACACACACACACACACACACACACACACAATAGAACATTATAAAAACAATATATTACTTATTTTAAATTACTATAGTATTTAATGTGGGAAATCATTAATAAAAAGTTATTAGAAAAATAAGCAAATAAATACTATTCAATCACTGGAGTAAAATATAAATATAGTATTATACATTTATTAAATGTAAAAAGATTTGTAATACATATAAACATGTATTATAGCCTTTACATATTAACTTTCTATTATTTCCTTTATTATAATGAATCAATTAAATGAATTAAACCTGTCCAATTTAGGTTGTATATATATTTCTGAAAATGTTTCAGCAAGACCAGCAATTGACTATCTGCTAAACTGATAGCACTAAACTGAACATATAAATAATGACGGAACATCTATGATGACTGATAGAAAACTGTTCCATCTATTACACTGAATGGCGACCGGAAACAATGTTCCCCATTCACCTGTCACGATCGCCATATTTGTGAAATGGTATACACTATTGTTAATGTGTACAATATTTATTAACAATACACATAAAAATATATTGATGATGATGTCAGAGAAGACGTTAATAACATTAACATTTGTCATAACCATTTATGGTTTGCCTAGATTAAGTGTGCTGGATTGTGTGTGCCTGAAATGTTTTTGTCAGAAAACCAAAAGTTGGACCAGTTGGAAAAGATATGGCATAAATCTACATCCTATTTCCCAGCTAACTGACGAAGGCTATTGTAGCAATACAGCCCTAGAAGGAGAATGATATAGATCAGAAACCGGAATAATAAAAAAATAAAGACAAGTTTGATTCGGATAACAGTGCTTACACAAGCCAACATAAACAAAAGGTAACCCTGAAAATAATATCTCGTCTCTTAAACAGACCAATTGCTTTGATTTATAAGATCTTGATGTATCATGGGTGGGTTTTTGTTTTTGCCTGCATTTCTCATTTGACTCAAATAAAATAATAATAAAGGATCACAGTTTTAACTAAATGTCGTCATTAATGTTTTCCCTAAAATGTCTAAGGATATTAACATTAAATATTCAAAACTATCCCTTACACATGACATTAAGCTCTTTGTGGATTTAAAAAAAAAAACTGGATGACATTGGCATGTTTCACAGCACTTCAGAGAAAAACAGCCTTTTCAAAGGGACTAGTCAGATGCCAGAGAGAAGATTGAAAGAAAAATGAGGGACAGGCATGTGATAAATTCAGTGCAAGCACTTTTCTGTAAACCGTTGTGTCCGCAAGAAAGTGTTGCAAAGCGAGAATAGACAGAGGAAATCCCCATGTGTGACTTCATTGTAAAAGGGTGGGCGATGAAAGTGTGTGTGGTGTGTCAGTACAACAACCTACAGTGTACAAAAAAAAAAAAAAACTGTACACAAACACACCACACTCACATTTTCAGTTTAAATACCAGTACATAAATCTACCAGTAAAAAAACATTAGATGAATATTGGGTTATACAGTAGAAGTGGTTCTCAATTCCAGTCCTCGAGACCCCCCACACAGCACATTTGTATGTCGCTCTTATTTGACACACAGGACCAGTTCATGGACCTCTCTGTTAAGAAGTTGATGATCTGATGAGTTTTTTTTTACTATTATATAATGTTATATGAACAATATCACATGAGTAGCAGTGTGATGTGTATGTACAGTTGAAGTCAGAATTATTCGCACCCCTGTTTATTTTTTTTCCCAATTTCTGTTTAATGGAGAGAAGTTTTTTTTTTCAACACATTTCTAAACACAATAGTTTTAATAACTTAGTTCTAATAACTGATTTATTTTATCTTTGCCATGATGACAGTAAATGATATTTGACTAGATATTTAAGACACTTCTATACAGCTTAATTAAAGTGACATTTAAAGGCTTGACTGGGTTAATTAGGTTAACTAGGCAGATTAGGGTTATTGTATAACGATGGTTTGTCCTGTAGAATATCGGAAAGAAAATAGCTTAAAAGAGCTAAAAAAATTTTACCTTAAAATGTTTATTAAAATAATTAAAAACTGCTTTTATTCTAGCCGAAATTAAACAAACAAGAGTTTATCCAGAAGAAAAAAATATTATCAAACATACTGTAAAAAATTCCTTGCTCTTTTAAATAAAAATAAAAAATCTATAACAGAAACAAAAATAAATAAATCAAAGGGGGGCTAATAATTCGGACTTCAACTGTATATCAGCACTGGTGGGAGGCGTGCGCCTTAGTCACATCGCACTGCTACTCATGTGATATTGAGTTTATACAACAGTTCAACAGCAAAATCGTTTATATAAAAAAAGAAAATCAAACACAGAGAATCTAAAAACCCTTTTGTAGGAGGAACTACTTTTTTCCGCCGTTCATTCACATCTGCAGCTGACGTCAGAACAGCAGAAACCGTTGCTACCTCACCAACGTCACTTGAGAGCTAGTATTTGAATGATTCTCTAGAGTAATGTCTAAAGTGATGACAAAACAGGTGGTTTTGTTTACATTTTAAGATTTTAAGGCTTAAAGGCATGAAATGTCAGCAGTCTTCGGAGATTTCCCAGTATTTCTCTGTTGCAATCAGGATATCACAATAATAAACCACGATAAAGCCAAAGCAGAGCTAAGACAGATTATTTTTGAGTTTGTGATAAGATTTGATCAGCTGTAGTTTGAAATTACGCCGAGTCTCTGTCCCTATCCTGTGGATGGACATTGTCAACCATCTCTGCTCTGCTACAAAACAACTACATTCCTGCCTAAAAAAGTACACTATGTTGTCCAACAGCTGTGATACATGTCAAAGTGTAGTCCTCTGCTTGCCACTCGTGTGGGCGGAGAGTGACGAGGCTGTATGAATTCTGCTTTTGCAGAATAGCAGCCATTCAGATTTGAGAACAGGGCAGAACCATTGCATAAATTTAAATATGCATATTCATTCATTTTCTTTTCGGCTTAGTCCCTTTATTAAACTGGGGTTGCCACAGCGGAAAGAACCGCCAACTAATCAAGCACGTTTTTTTACGCAGCAGATGCCCTTCCAGCTGCAACCCATCTCTGGGAAACATCCACACACAGTCATTCATACACATACTCATACACTATGGACAATTTAACCTACCCAATTCACCTGTACCGCATGTCTTCGGACTGTTGGGGAAACAGGAGCACACAGAGGAAACCCACGCGAACACAGGGAGAACACTCAGAAACGGCAACTGAGCCGAACCGAGGCTCGAACCAGCGACCTTTTTGCTGTGAGGCGACAGCACTACCTACTGCGCCACTGCGTCACTAAATATGCAAATGAGTAACTATTTCAGCCAAAATAAAATTGTTTTAAAGGTTTTCTGCATAGGTGGTATTGTTTTTTTTTCACTTTATTATTCAGAAAATACTGCAAACAACGAGAAAACAACAACAAAATTACATTTATTTATTTAAAATCAGCCACATTTTGTATGAACAAACCTCTTAGTACAAAACATCAGAATAAAGATATCAAAAAAACTGTGGGCAGCACAAAGGCACAGTGCATAGCACAACGGCATCACAGCAAGACGATCACTGGTTAGCTGGAAAGGCATCCGCATAAAACTTGTACTGGATAAATTGGCGGTTCATTCTGCTGTGGTAACCCCAGATTAATAAAGGGACTAAGCCTAAAAGAAAATGAATGGATGAATGAATGAATAAAACTGTGAAACTGGTATAACTGCTGTTGAAATAATTATTTATGGCTCAGTGCAGGAGAAAATGGCCTTTAAAAATGTGCATTACACATAAAAGCTACAGACACAAATGAATAAATTGAAACCAAATAAATAAATAGTTAAGTGCATTTTTAATGTTTTCTGAGAAAAAAAATCCAGAAAGCCTAAAATTTCTAAACTGACAGGTGCATGAAGAAACTGCTTTTGTCTGCAGTTTCTCTTAAAACAATCCAATAAAGTTGGAGGCGGACAGGAACAAAGACATTTCTGATGGTG